GAAGTCGGACGCTTAACCGACTGCGCCACCCAGGCGCTCCTCAGCTCACCTTTTATAAGTCCTTTTCCCTATTTGTACCATTCTTTTTATCTAGTTCCTGAAACCTGGCTCTTCTTTGCAGCCTGGTTCCCTAAACCCATAGTCTCATGCACTGAACTGCATTAGTGCTTTTCCTTCCCTGCACATCCATCACTCTGACCTAAGCTACTACTGTTGGAGAATCACAGCTGAAGGACTGTAGAGCTGGGGGAAGGCTCAGCACTCTTAGAACAGAAGAGAACACTCCAGCTCTGATGGAGGCTGTGCCTGGCTCTAGACAGGGAAGTGGGAGAAGTATTTAGTTATGGAAAGCCTACTCTGTACCATGAATTGGGAACTTCATTCTGGTAGCTCATTTCAACTCATCTAACCTTGACAATCGCTTAGGAAGCAGGCATTAATCTAGGAAGATTAAGCGACTTCCTCAGGTCACACAGCTCCTACGTGGCAGTAAGTCTGGCTACAGAGCCCATGCTCTTACCATATTGCAGAGGCTCAGGGTACCTGGTGGTCAGGAGCAGGGGCGAATGGGGTGAGAACTAATCCCAGGTGTCCTGGTTGGTGGACCCCCTTCTGGGTCCCACTGCAGGAGACAGAAAGATCAGTTATGTCTGAGCAAAATGTATGCACATAACTATACCTGAACCATCCACATGCATGCACGGTACTGTGGGATATGGTCAGCAACTGCAGCTCTGAGGACTTCCTGCCCAACAAGTGACAGAAAACCCGCAGCAGCTCCCCAGCTGTATTCATCAGTGCCCAAGAGAACCCCACCTCTCTTCCCCATGGGCAGGGAATAGGGTGCCATAGAGAGGCCAGTGGTCTGTGCCCTCCCAGACCCTGCTTTCAAGCTGATGAAAGGCTGAAGGAGAAATAACCAAAATCTTCACAGATGGATACCCTCTCTAGCTCATCTAGACGTGACAGAGCTGTTCAATTTGAGAATACAGTCTAGGACACTGTCTAGGACACTGGTTTATGCCCTCCTCTGAGCTTGGAGCACAGCAAATAAGCATGTAAAGGGGAGGTTGGATTTGGGAAAGTCAAGTTGGGAAGAGAATCTGCTGGATGTGGTGCTGGATGCTTGGATAAAGAGCCTGGAAGGTTCATGTTCAAGGATGGGTGGGTGGGACTGTGGGTTTCCCGTGTCCAAGAAGAGGCAGACAGATGGTGTATTCTCATGATTACTGTGAGCCAGATCTCAGAAGGTCCTTGCTGGCTGACTAAAAATTGCCTGGACAGGATGATCCAGGTAGGCCAGGGTAGGCTTGGGAATTAGAAAAGTTCTAGTCAATTCTATATTTGGGAAGTGCTACCGGGTATTGATGAGGCTTATGTAACCACATGCCTGATAGTGGCTGATGCCTCACAGACTTCTGAGTTGGGTGAGGTGTGTAGGGGTGGGGAGAGAGGAAGAAAAGAGCTCGGTAAGGGGGCAAGGGCTTTCAGAAAGCAACCCTAACACAACCACCTCCGTTGTACAGGTAACTGTGGATATAATCACAGATCTATTCTTAAGCCTTGAGAAAAGTGAAAACAAATAGGTTACGTGCCCAAAGACTGGAAGAAGCTCAAATTTCCACCTAGGGCAAGAGGACAGAGCACTGAGATTACAGAACAGGAGTGTGAGCTTGATCCCTGCCAAATGCTTGTAGAGACCAAAGCAAATGGGTTCTGGGCATTTACAACTGAATTCAGTGATCACTAGGAACCACAGAGGATGATTAAGAAAGAAGCGTGAGGACCTCATATCATTTCCTAGGGTTATACATTTAGTAATTTCAACAGGAATTGCAGATGTAGTGAGTTTTTATTTTGGCACAAATATTTGATGCTCTCCTAGAGGAAAGCATTGTAAAGTGAGTACAGACTTTGTCTTCGTACCCAAAGAACATGGGTTAGTAACTCCTGTCAGCCAGGAAGGAAGGCACCAGCTTTATTCTAGCCCTTGTCCAATTCAATCTCTTGTTCGTTTTGTTGTTTTTTTTTTAAATTCATGAGTCAGGTGCAAGCCTAGGGATGCTTATCAAGTTTGTAGGTAACAGTTGGAGAGCATAACTAACACCATATAAAACAATCAAAATTCAGAACTATCCAACAGCTTTGAATGCTAATTTGAAATCTGCAAGATGCAATGTTAGAGGGATAAATCTAGAATCTATTGTTTGGGTTTAAACAAAAATAAGGCAACACAAAAAGTTGGAGACCTGACTTGCTATTTGTTTGTGTGAAAAATGTCTAGGTGTTTAGTTTACCACATACTTAATATGAGTGAT